CCCCCTGGTGAATGCAGCACATGGATAGAGATATTTAGGCCAATTGCAATGAAGGAGTTTAGGTTACTATGCAAAGCAGTATTTATTCATAACATTTGCATATTGAAATAAAAAGTGTGATGCAATTAATATTGCCTGCACTGAGGATTAGCCTGATCTCTGAGGGGAAAAACATTCCAAGACTGCACACCCGTGCACACACACACACACACACGCACATTCAAGTGGCAAAATCTTTCTCTCTGCAGAGGGCCCTTTTCTTAAACCCTTCTTCTATTCCAAAGAGGCAAGTCAGTGAAGTAGAGAAGTAGTGACAAAGTATTTCTGCAATGTGTGATGAAGCAAGTGGGTATAAAGGTTTTGTAAACTCATTGCAAGGTATAGAAAATCAATGTGCCTACTCTATTGTATTACACAGAGGTATTTCAGTGAATGCCCTGGCCAACAAAGTACACTAGAAGTGCCAAATACATTTAGAAATAATGTACTCTTGCTCTTAGGGTCGTTGGAATTCAGGTTGCGCAACATTGAATACTGTGGATGGCATTTGGCTATTCCAGTGGAGGATCCTAGTTTCTTGTTTAAAAAAAAAAAAAAGAATCCTTTTCTGGTGTTTACATCTTGAGTGTTGATTCAGTTTGGATTATATTTCTTTCATGATGAAGTATGTATAAACATTTTAAAAAGGTGTGGCACAGTCAAGTGTTTTCATTATTTGTGTGATAGGTTTGAACATCTATTCCAAAGTATCAGTAGGCACCTGCAGAAGCAAAAGTGGATTTGTAGCACCTGAACACATTCCGATTCGTGCAATTAAAGCAGTTTACAGAGCAAGGAAGAAAAGAATATCACATACTGAGGTTAGATGTCTTTTTCACAGAGGACAAAAGAGTTTTGATTCTTTCACTTCAAGTTTAGCCTAACTATTGTGCAGGGGAGGAGGTTTAATGAGTCATTGTTTAACTTTGATACTGCCAAGTATTTGACCATTAAATAGTCTGAAATGTGTACATAGCACTTTGGTGACAGACCCTTATTTAACAGTGATTAATTGGCTTTGAATAGTTATTTAATTACTTCGGAAGAAATCTAACAACAGTGTGTGTTCTGATTAAATTATTTGATGTAAAAACAAACATAAGACAGCTGAAGAGAGCACGTCCCCTTTTGCAGCTTGCTACTCACACTACACACTGCAAGGCAGCCTGAGTGATTGAAGTAGCAGATACTATTCACCAGTGTGGATGCTGTTGTAACATTGGCATATTTAATCCTTGATTTCTTAAAATACTTTTTTTGTTTGTGGTTTGATGAAATTTGACTTAGAAGTTTTAGATGTAGTATTTTCTTTTTGCTTTTGTAGCACCTTGCTGGGATAAGTAAAGGATGTAGGTATTAAAGGAGCTTAAATTTTTTTGTGAATTGGATATACTAGACTGATCTAAGAATTATTGTTTCTTGGTACGTATACGTATCTCAGAGATGCTTACTTAAGGAGTTTGGGGTTTTTGGAAATATGAACTATGGTGGCAAGGTTATGCTGATAATCTGTAAGTTTAGGAAAGAAGCGTTTAGAGCTTTTGGAGATAAAATATAATTTTCAGGGTGTGGGGGCAGGTAAGTTATGCAGCTCCTGCCCTTCTTGAACAGCAGGTGCAGCAGTTTCCATAGTCTGAAGAAGCATTCTCAAAAGTTACGTTTTGCACATTCTGGAAGAATCTGTAGTCATAACTGTAAGCATTTTGAGTCCTGACTCCAAATAGGTACTTTAACTTTTAAATCTGGAATGTTTTCTCTTGCATGCTTAATTCTGCATAAGCAAGTCACTGTTTTATTTTGCTTCCAGTAAGTGGAAATAGTTGTTTCTTCATACCTTGTGAAATAAACCTCTTGTGCTTGTAGACATCCTTATAAATGAAGCAATTGCTTTGAATGCAATACTGTAATGGCTGTGGGGCATCTTGTGGATAATTCCAAAGCATAACACTTCTGCTTGAAGGTGCATTGCTGTCCCTGCCACATGGTGAAAGAAGTTGCTTTAGTGAGTTACTGTACCTTCTTCTGTGTAGGACATGCAGTATAAAGTGCCGGTTTAGTTACATCCATGTGAACAGGATCTGAAATGCATCTCCAGACTTGTATTTTCTCTTCTGCTGTCTCTGAGGTAGTAGAATTGCAAACAGCAGTGACAAAAATAAAGCTAAGGCTTGTGGGTTTGTTACTTTCCTTTAGCTGTAGAAAAGCATTAATGGTCACCAGATAAACAGGACAGCGGGGAGATACAGACCTCTTGGCAATAAGCAAAAGATTTACCTGGTCTTAATGACTTCAGGTGTCATTTTGCAGAATTTCTATGTGCTAACACTAAATAGACTAATTTTTCAGTAATTTGAGAACTCAAAAACAGTGAATCTCTGCTATCAGAGATTCACTTTAATGTTTATTTGGGAAGCAACTGATTCATATTGCCACTGTTTAATTGTATTAGGTGGACTGTGAAAGGTTCCAGTTTTCAGGGTTTGTCTTTTTCATATACCATTTCTTTTGCTCACTCAAATTTTAGTCAGTGTCATTTTACAGAATTGCTGTATTTACATTTTAAAGAGGATTAGGCAGATTAAAAGATGTTTTCATGTTTTGTTGATAACATCAGATTAATTTCCACTTTCCTAGTGGCAGCTCACAGAACTGTCAAAACAGAGGCTGTAGAAACATTGTTATACTTAACAATTCCATAAGGCAGATGCAAAAAAATGCAGTTTTGGCAATTAGCAGCGTGATTACCTCTGGGAACTGGAGGGGTTGGTGGTAACATGGAAGAGACAGTGAAACCAAGGATTGCTGGGGACAGCCTGGCTGAGGTGAGTTTTCTGTCATGACCACATTGCTCAGAGAACTTCACAGGAAGAGGAGGAGAGCCACAGCCACTCTGAATGTGCAGGCATTGCTCTGTGGCTGGAGGTGCCAGCCTGGGGCTGCCCTTGCTGTGGCCATGGAAGAGGAGCCAGCCTGAGTGACCCTGCTGCCTCCTGGCAGTGGCACGTGGGGTGTAATGCCTTCTTATAGAAGTCTGAAACCACTACAAGTAAAACTTACTTGGGGTTAAAAGGCAAAAAGCTGATTCTTAGGCTGAATTAAGGTGGGGTTTGCTCTCTGTGGGAACAATCCTTTGCCCTTGTGTGCAGCTCCTCATTGGTGGGTCTCACAGCTTTTCATGGAGGGTCTTAGCATTGTCACCTCTCCTTGCTGTGCTCCTTGCTCTGTAAAATAAAGTGAAGTCACTCAGAAGACAGGCGACAAAGCTGTGAACAGATTTCTAATACCCTGAGCCCAATCTGTTATTTCACCTAGTTTTCCTTATCTACCCTTCCTGGACATGCAGCTAAGGGAACCTCTGTCAACAGGAAGCATTTAACCTCTTCAAATGATTTTCTTTTTGCCAGTGAAGACTTGGTTTATTTGAAAATAACCCAGAATGTGATGTTTAAGGATATTAAGAAGCCTTAGTGTCAGCATGCATGCAGTATCTGCTTGATCACCCTTCTGTGACCAGTCTCCATGAAAGAAAATCATGGCAAAAAGGGAGTTTTTTTTAATTGCCTTGGATTTTCTTCTGATGTATCTACCCTGATACAAATAAAAGGGAACATCCCCACATGCTATTCCTAGTAGAAAAAGATGAAAGAGATTTTTCTGAATCTTGTGCTGCTGTACACTCTTCCTCTCAGTGTGCAAAGCCAAAAAACAGGATGAATTCAGCTGTTGGCTGCCTGCAGTAAACTGCCTTGGGTAGAGAAGTATTGCAGAACAAGCTCTTTGCCACCAGTATCCCTCTTCACAGTCATGCCCCAGACCTGAGGAGAAAATGTTTTCTGTATTGTTTGGTGTGGAACAGAAATTCCCTTAAAAAAGAAATGAATGAAAAAGAGCTGTGAGCAGAGAACTAGCATGATGGTTGCTGCAGAAGTTCCTTCAGTATCTCTTATCTCTAAATGACGTCGCCAGGGCACTGTGTGGAAACTTTAAACTTGCTTTCAGTTTAATGAGCTCCTTTGAAAGGAAGAAAAAAAAGTCTTTTGTTGCCAGTGCAGTGAATATGTTTGTACCAGTTAAAATATAATTGAATCAAGATATATGCAGATAACAAAGCAATGTGAATGCATGTATGGGCATCACACACCTTAGAAATAGCCAGATTCCCACCCCTGGTTTCGTTTCTTTCCTGGTGAGTAGAGATACTGATTAATAGAGAAAGATACTAATCCACTTATGGGTGGCAGCTCTGTGACTTTAATTATGAAAGAAGTCTTGATATAACTGACTTTTTTCAGTCAAGTAGAACTTGGGAAAATAGAGAAATGTAAATGCTTCACTGACAGCAGATTAAAAATCGTTTTATTAGCTTAAATAAAGATCAGTATTGTCAAGGTTTTCAATAAGTGTAAATGTAAGGCTGCATGAATGCAAATCTATCTCAGATTTTATTTTAGAAACACCTGCAATTTGAATCCATGTATAATGCTGAGGGGTGAGAACAGAAATGCTAAAAAAGATCAGTTAGATCAGCTATGATCTATCTAAGACATGCATGCACTAGTGAGTTTCAGTCAAGGATAGGAGCAGATTCCAGCTGATGTTGCTTGATGAAACTTGCATTAAGTTGTCTGACCTGTAAACCTTTACCTGCCCATGTTAAGCATATAAAGCATGTCTGTTTCACCTGTTAAAATCTGTTGAAATATTATCTTCAAAGCCCATTTAAATTTTTTTTTCTAGCTGTTGAAGTGAAGGTTTTATATTTGGGTAGAAGGCATTTGTAAAAAAATTCTTCTTCAAAATATGTTGCAGGAGACTCCCTTCATAGAGGTTTCCAAAAATGACTTTTTATTTTTAAAGTCCAGCTGTTTCCTTTAAATTGTTTTTGAAGTGGTAAAACATGAATCTCTTCAGGAATTATATTTACTTCCCTTTTGTTTTTCTTCTCGACCCTGTTTCTATAGGAAGAATCTTAAATCGTTTCTCCAAAGATATTGGCCACTTGGATGACTTGCTTCCATTGACCTTCTTGGACTTTGTGCAGGTAATTCAGTCAGAGACTTCTGCACTGCATTTTGCATTTAGATTCCTGTGTGCTTTGCTGAAGATCAGCTATTTGTCACAGATGTAGCTGAGTCGAAGGAAAGCACTTGTTTGTGAAAGAAAGGTGCGGTTGAAATTTAACGTGTCAGTAAAAAGCTAACATGAGTAATAACTGCTAGGTAGGAGTGGCTATACACAGCTTGCTATTATGTCAAGATTTCAGCTCATAGCAGCTACATGCTTGGTAAATTGCTCCTGATTTCCCTCCAAGCAATCTGGCAAGCTCATTGCTGTTATAAGAAATATGTCCATAGTAAAGAAACAATCAGCTCACATGAAAAGATAGCACAGATTAACCTAATTACATGTCTACTTCCACAAAGAATCAAATGCTTACCACACCATTTCGGATTAAAATAGGTGTGGCTATTTACAAAGAAAAGATTAGTAGTAATAGGGTGAATATAATAGCCTTAATAGGAACAAGTGAAATAAGTTGCTGCAGAAAAGAAAGATGGACAAAGCATTGAGATTTTGATAATGATGAAATGATAAAGGATTATACATGACATCAAGGTAATTTTTTCTGTTGCAGTTGCTATTAATCTTTCTCATAAAAAATTGCAGGAGGATAAATCTGAAAAAGAATGATCGCACTGTATGAAAATAACATGAATCACAGAATACAGAGAATTGTGGAGGTTAGATAAAAAAAGACTTAGTGGATTATCTGGATCCACTTAGTGGATCACACCTGTCATGCTGAGGTCAGGAATGTTTCTTAAGGTGCTATTGCTAGTTTTGCTTTGTCTCTTAAAGATAACTTATTCAGGATCCCAACCCTGTTTTGACTTCAAAATTAACCAAAGACATTTCAGGTTGAACAATTTAATCATATTGTTCTTGCTGAACTCTTGAAAATACAAAAAGAAATTATTCCAAGGAGTAGAAACACCTACTAAGATAAAGTGTTTTTTGTAGTTTAGTGAAGTAGCTGAAATTGAGGTGCATGTTTTGTTTTTCAGATTTTTACAGTGCCACTTTAAAGTGTCGTTTTGGGGAAGAAAGGAACGTGGTGTATTTTACCTATCAATTACAGTAATGGGGGGGTTTTTGTGAGTTAGGGAGTTGCTTACAGTGAATATTAGGATTTTAATTCATGGTCACTTAATTTAATGTAATATTAATTAATTTAAATTCTTCTTGAAAGTGTAATATGTTTTTTCTATAAAAACAATTTTTTGCTATTTCTAGAGATTCTCAGTCTTCTTCATTCTCATTAACTGTCTTATTAGACAGAATATCTTTATTTCAGCTGGCTTGAAACTATACATATGTGCCTTTCTTTTGGACTGGAAGTTCAGTTTGTCCTGCAGTCCTTATCCTTGTCTCTTAGCATAAGGTTTGCATCCACAAAGTCAAACCCGTCTGTCCTGCCCAGTGTGCTGCTTGTCCATTGGGCCAGAGGTGTTTACATGTGCATCAGCGTGTCCCCTTTACAGCAGACTGCACTGTGTGTGTGTTCACACTGTACTGCTCATGGCCAGAGCATCCTCTGGGTCCTGTGATCCTGAGATAAAATGATTAACCATTTTCTTCAGTTCTGCGCATTTACAATAGTAATGTGAGGGTTGTGTTGCAAGACAACATGGTGGTTTTATAGCAAGAAGCTGAGTGGGTGTTTTGCACGCCCTGGCATGTGGTTTAAAGGCATGTGGGGTTGTCTGAGGATGCAGAATTTGCTGGGAAAATGTTACAGAAGTCTGCAAAAGCAGAGGGAGCCACAATTGGTGTGATCTTGTCCATACTTCCTTTTGGGAGCAGACCCCGAAGCAAACTGTCTTGAGAATTGCAGTGTCTTACTTTTGACAGAACAAACTGATCTGCTTCAAAAGAAGGCTGAGAGAGTGTCTACCCTGTGAGCATGGCACATGGTACAGAGTGTACAGAGAGAAACATCTACCAGCACACTGGAAAACCTAGTCAGTGACCAGTGTATAGATCCTTCAGGCAGTGTGTGCTTTCCAAAACTGAGCTGGTCTGGAATGAAACAGTGAAGGCTGCTTCTCTAGATGTGATTGTTTTCTTCTTTCAGGCTCCTACTGTAAACCACATTTGGTAAACATTTTCCTTCATCTTGATTAATTTATGTGGAGTTTTTTTTAATTGGCTATTGAATTATTTTTCAAATTCTGGAGTTTGTTTTTTAAGTGAAAAGTTTCTGTTTCCAAAAAACAAAGTAGATTTTACAAGTCCAGTAGAGTATTGAAAAGACACTGTGGTTCAAAGCTTGCCTTCTCTATTTGGCAGAAATAGAGAAAATTTAGGATCTTAGTGTTGATTAATAATGCACTGCTATCCATAAGACAAAACCACTTTCTTCTTGGCAGTTTTTCTAAAATTTACTCTTCTTGATCAGCAGGCTTCTTGCTTAGTGGTTGTTTTGGAAATTCAAGAGCAAATATGTATTTATTTCTGCTGAAGCAGAGATTTTTACAAAGGATAAATGCTATCAATAATGATAGAGATCTTTTGTCACTTGTTTTGTTTGCAGGTGTCTTTTATAACACTTCTCATAATCCCTTCAGGAAGAAATATTTTCTCCTTTCTAAAAACAGTATTAGCTGGATATAAAAGCCCTGATCCCTGCCATTATTGTTGATTCTTTGAGAGACATTTCCCAACATTCATTGTTTAAATGGTTGTCAGGAGGAATCAAGTGAAACTTAATAAACAATGCAGTAACTGGTTCATCTTACTTTGTGTGTAGAAGCTTTTCTTGAGCGGATTTGCATTGAAGAAGTGGTTGTTTTTCAGAGTTATTGCTGGGATCATTGTGGAGCATTCCAGCCTTTTACTGTATTGGCAAGTGAGTGTGTAATTTCAGCACAAATAAATACAATTTATTTTGTGATTGGACACACAATCACAATTTACAGTGATTGGACACTCAAAAGCTACAGTATGAGCCAATTAAATACCGATAAATAAATAATTAACTGCCACCTTCTAGTTTCAAGAATTTTGTCATTATACAAAATACAGATGTTTAAGCAGTGTTAAAAATTGATGATATTCTTTTTGGAGTAGGTAATAAGATTTATACACTGCACTACAGCCATAATGAGCATTATTAGTCTAGGCAGCTAAACTGGATAAAAATTAATTCTTTGAACAGGAAGAGTTTAATTTTTTACCTTTTCCATTGAGTTAAGGAAAATAAAGACTCTCTTCCAGACAGTGAATAGTCTCTGTACCTTTGTGGTTAATGCAAAGTTGAAAGTTATGTGGCAAGCACAAAATGCATCATGAATCTTGTGTTTTCTTTTGAAAATCTGGTTAGATTTTATAAAAATAACTTTGCAATATCTCCCAAAGTGGCTACTCACATTTCATTTAAATTTTTCTCCCTTCTTTTCATTCTTTGGTTTGAAGTACACCAAAATATAGCATACCTGTCTTGAGAGATTGAAGGTAAGAGAAGCAGTCCTCACTGGAAGGCAGTAATTTTTTTCTTCTTATGAATTTTAACAGCATATGAGGCATCTCATGTTAGTGCAGCTGACTGTGTTTTGTGGAAATTACTGCTGTATCCACAAGGTTTATGAATTAAAAATAAGTCTCTTTTATGAGAACATGTTTATGGCTATGTTTGACTACATGGCTGGAACCCATCACTGTGGGTAGATGTGAATTAGAAAAATTGAGAAGAAACCAAAGGTTAAGTTAGGTGTTTCAGCTAAAATATCTTTATTGGTATGTTTAGAGTCCAGGTTGAAGCTCATTTAAGTAAAAATATCCTTTAAAATCTGCAGTCTAATCCTGAGTCTTTCTTCTGTAATGGATTCTGGCTGATCATAAGGTTCTGTACCAGTTCTTCTGAAAAAGTAAACTAGAAAGTACTTCTGTGTTCAGCATGGCACTACTGTTATTTCTACTAAATATGGCATAAAAATTGTTTGTAAAACCAAGTAGTAATCAATGTTGTAGGTTGACTAAGATAGTCAAAAAGCTGAATTAACTTGTTTGGTGAAGATGGTGGGATTTTGGCTTTTTTTTTGGTGAGCTTACATATTTTTAATTATTGTTATCCTCTTTAGCCTTTGTCTGTCTGCATCTCGTTCTCTTTTTCTTAACTGGAGTTACGTGGTTTTGGCAGCTCCTCTCCAGCTAAGTTATCTCATCAGGTAAAGGACAACTTGTGTGAAGGCCATTACAGTGCTTTAAAACTTTCTAAGAGGATCTAAACACCTACTTTATTTAGATATAAATGTCCTGCCTTAACCTCTGTGGGAGTATGAGGTTCTGTGGATGTGGACTTCACTGTTAGGTGCAGGGTCTGTAGTGTAAAATCAGAGGCTCACAGGATGCTTAGGGTTGGAGAGGAGCTCAAAGACCATCCAGTTCCAAACCCCCTGCCAGGGACAGGGACAGGGACAGGGACAGGGACAGGGACAGGGACAGGGACAGGGACAGGGACACCTTTTACTAGACCAGGCTGCTCAAAGCCTCATCCAACCTGGCCTTGAACACTTCCAAGGATGGGGCATCCACAGCTTCTCTGGACAATGTTTAGCTCAATGCAGCACTAATAAAACACAATGCACTAATTGGAGAAAAGATCAGCCAAGAAATAGAATAAATTTTTGAGGGGGTATTAGGAATTGAAATTAATGAGAGGGTATTAGGAGTTAAGCATCCTATATATTTAATAGTGGTTTATGCACATTAGTCCAGATATTGCTAAGTGGCCAGTCTTTTGGATGCTGTCATTTTGAGACCTCATCAAAGGCTGAATCATATTCTGACACAAGATAGATTTGCAGAGGCTTAACATCTTTAAACTCTGATCTCAGACTTTGCCAGATGAGTACCCAAACTGATAAACTACTGCTTGGAAATTATGTCTGTAAACTGATTGAGTACATAGGACAGTGAAATATATTTTGGACTTCCTGTTGGTTTTGTAAATTATTCTGGTAAATTTTAAAGGGATGATTT